TGGAACTCAAACTTCAGGACCAAGCGTCCTTAACTTTTGAACTTGTAGTCAAAGTTAAGGACCTATTGTCCTTAACTTTTGAACTTGTAACTGTAAGTTAAGGACTGCTTGTCCTTAACTTTTGAACGTGTAACTGTAAGTTAAGGACTGTCTGTCCTTAACTTTTGAACTTGGAAATCAAAGTTAAGGACCTATTGTCCTTAACTTTTGAACTTGTAACTGTAAGTTAAGGACTGCCCGTCCTTAACTTTTGAACTTGTAACTATAAGTTAAGGACTGTCTGTCTATGCATTTTGTCTTCTAACTCTAAGTTCAGGACCAAGTACCTACCACAACCATGACTCTTTATGTCTTCTGCTATGCATTTTGTGTAACCCAATAACACCTCGAATTGCACTGATTGTATTTGCCTCGCCAAAAACATCAAGATTACAATTATCAAAATCATTATTAACAGCAAAAAGTAAAATATCTGGCCACTTTCATAACTCAATAAAAATGCTTCTAGAATCATTTAGGTGAAATTTAAAGAAAAAAGGAATCATATAAGCAGGAACTGAAATACATGAGTAGTTTCAACAAAGAGATGAAATATTGTTAAGAAAGAGCATCCATGGTTTTTAACGATTTGAAGTTTGGACATTGACGAGTAGCAGATTCAGAATATCTTTTTAGATCAAATTAGTTTCAGTATTTGCAGAAGACTGGATAGAGACTTTTATGTCAAACCCGGGCTTGATAGAGGGTTTGGAAAGGAAAAGAGATAGAAAAAAGGGTAACACAGTTTTTTCATATTAATTTTAATAGACTAGTGACTATTATTGCTAAGCATTAAAAATATTGGATAAAAAATAAATACCAGCTTAAATAGTGGCTACCTCACACCATGTCTACTATTAAGTAGCCTAATTTAAACGTGAGTCCAATCCATAACTCCAACTCAAGTCTCATGTTTTTGCCCAGATTACCTCTTAAGACGTATAGCCTAATTTATTTTTATGTGCTTTGGTTTAAATAAAGACATATAAATGTTGCTTTAGCAGTGGCCAGTGACAAGGTTTAACTGTTTAAGACTAAGAGCCCGTTTGGATTAGCTGATTTGAAATAGCTGATAAGCATTAGGTGCTGAAAAGCACTTTTAAGTGTTGAAACTGATTTAATAAATAAGCAATTATGTGTTTGGGTACAAGTGCTAAAATTGATAATAAGTTGTTGCAGTATTTAATAAAAAAAGAAGTGCGATAAGCTCTTTTTCAGTTAAGGCGACTTAAATAACATTAGAATTGTTTACACTTATAAGGGCGTAATTTCTTCAAATTTTAGATTCCAGAACGATTCAAATACAAAATATTCTACTTGTCATTTTATTTTAAATACAACTATGCTTAGATAAGATAAGTTTTCTGATAAATACAATTATTTTATGATAAGCATATAATCACACGTTATAATAATTAATAAATTGACAAAAGTTTCTTAGCAAAAAATAAACCTAAATATAACAAAATGTTGAAGAGAAACAAATATTGTCTTCATCACCACAACACTTAGAAAGCAATACACCAAAAATAAAATATGTACTCATTTATTACATACAGTTCAAAGATTAAGACACAATCACAAAGATATAAATATGCAAAGGAATAGAGAATTTGCTTATCTTAAATAATCAATGAGAATTGTAGACTTGAAGAGGCAGGAGGGGGGGGGGGGTTAGGAGGGGGTTTAGGTTGAATACTTGAGGCAGTGAGTATCGATGCAGGAACTTTGTTCTAAAAAGAAATATTTTAAGGATAAAATAGTAAAAATCTTGGTCAAACTTAAAGTGCTTATAAACTAAAAAATTCACAAGCTGGGGGTGACCAGCTTATGGCTTTCAGCTTATTTTTGACTTATAACCACTTGGCTTATAAGCACTTTTAACTTTACCAAACGCGTAGATAAGCCAAAAAGTGTTTATAAGCTAGTTTGACGAGCTTATAAGCTTAGCCAAGCATCCTCTAATTATAATTGCTGCTTTGATTGCTCACCGCTCACCATTATTTTTTATGTGCTTATCAGTGAAGATAATATAACAGTAAGTCACCACTAAAAGACTTATTAGTTTTATAGGTTTTGTTTATGTTTAAGGAATATTTTTTTTTTACAGATGTAGAAGTCTTGGTTTGTTTGAGTTTGAGCCTCTGGTTTGTATGTGTTTCGCCAAAGTTATATGGGCGTTGTTGTATTGTGTGAGCTTAATAAATCTGAGTTCACACTTCAGATTTATCAATGCAAGCTCGATTGAAGATCTGCCATGACTGAGAGTAATGGAAGAAGGAGATGATCACAGAGAAGAAAATGAAAATGATTCTGTGTATTAGAAAAAGAAGTAATTATAAAATATATACTTCTAACTTAATTATAGTTGCAACAAGTAACTATAGTTCTAATCGCCTAACCATGGTCAATTGGGACCCAAAACTAACTACTAACTAACTAACAATATTACCTAACTATTTCTTCACACTCCCCCTCAAGCTGTAGGGTGTAAAATATTGAGCACCCCAAGCTTGCCTAAAAGAAAAGTATGCTGAGAATGACCAAGCCCTTTGGTCAACAAATCAGCTTATTGATCCTTAGTGCCTATGAAAAGAGGCATGAGCAGACCTTGCTTGATTCTTTCTCGTACAAAATGGCAGTCGATCTCTATGTGCTTGGTACGTTCGTGAAAAATAGGATTGGCTGCTATTTACAAGGCAGACTTACTATCACAATAGACTTTCACAGGCTGTTTGATAGTCACACCTAGCTCAGCAAACAGTCCCAATAACCACACAACCTCTGCTGTTACTGCTGCTAAACTTCTGTATTCTGCCTCTGCAGAGCTCCTTGACACTGTGTGCCATTTTTCCGACTTCCAAGAAATGAGTGAATCACCAAATTTGATCAAATAACCTGTAACAGACGTGCGTGTGTTTGGACAACTAGCCCAATCAGCATCACAGAAGCAAGTCAAGTTGTCTTCATTCGAGTTGCCCAGAAAAATTCCCATCCTTGGCTCATGTTTGAGATATATCACAACTCTCACAGTTGCATCCCAATGAGAACTTTTGGGCTCTTGCATGAATTGACTAAGAGTCTGTACTATAAATACAATGTCTGGCCTAGTGATGGTAAGATAAATCACCCTACCAACCAGTCGTTGGTATTCATTTGCATCAGATAATACCTCATCATTTCCAACACCAGTGTGTCTGTCGAATTCTGCGGAAGTGAAATTTTGATTGAGATCGATTGGAGTGAGAACAAGCTTGGCACCTCCTAGGCCTAAATCAAAAATCAATTGGAGACAATACTTCCTTTGGTTCAAAAGAATTCCACTCTTTGACCTTAGCACTTCTATCCCCAGGAAATATTTAAGATCACCAAGGTCCTTGACTTTAAATTGTTGATGAAGCACCTCCTTGGTCTCATTGATGAATTGTGTGCTGTTTCCAGTTATCAACAAATCATCTACATATATTAGTACTGCCACAAAGTCTTCATTTTTCCTCTTAGTAAACAAGGAATAGTCATGAAGGCTCTGGATGTATCCTGCAGCTATGAGGGCCTCACTAAGCTTGATATTCCACTGCCTTGAAGCCTGTTTTAGCCCATATAGTGATTTCAGCAGCCTGCAAACCTTTGTCTCCCCCTGCTTTCTGAAACCCTGAGGCAGTTCCATGTATACTTCCTCATATAGATCACCTTGTAGAAAGGAATTATATATATCCATTTGTGAGATATTCCAACCCCTGGAAGCTGCAAGTGCAATAAGAGATCTCACAGTTACCATTTTTGCAACTGGTGAGAAGGTTTCATTGTAATCTAGACCTTATCTCTGACTATACCCCTTGGCAACCAATCTGGCTTTAAACCTTTCCACTTCTCCACTAGCTTTGTACTTGATTTTGTAACCCACTTTGATCCAATTGCCTTTTTTTCCTTTTGGCGGATCAATAACATCCCATGTCCTGTTGTCTTCTAGTGCCTTGATCTCCATCTCCATTGCTTCAATCCACCTTCTATCTTTTGAAGCCTCAGCAAAGTTCATTGGTTCAGTCATTATGGAGATGTTAGCTAGAAAACTTCTGCATTTGTCCTTTAACTTGGCATAAGACAAGTAGTTAGCTAGTGTATATGAGGATCCCTGGTTCCCCTTTGTGGTTACATAATCTTGCAACCACAAGGGTTCCTTTGATGTCCTTTTGTATCTCCTTATCTCATTTTGTAGTGTTGATTGTTGTTGTCCTGGTGCCATCAACCTCACACCATCTAAACTAGATGCAGCAGCTTCTGCTTTAGACATGTCTATGCTGTTGTCTTCTGCAACTGCTGAAAGTTGCTGCTCATCCTGTGCACATTCTTCTGTGTTGCCATCTCCCACAATTATTGGTAAATGTTGCTCAGAATGGACATTTTCAGCAGCTGCTTCATTTTCATTCCTTCCGGCATCATGACATCTTGGCTTAGTTGCCTCTTCTGAGCTATTATTTGCAGTCCTCTCAGGTTGCAAATCTGTATTGCTAAGAGGTTCAGTTGCAAACATCTCTGTTTTTGTGTGCTCTCCTGCAACTGGAACTTGAGAGGGTGAATTTGCAAATGGAAATATATGTTCCTTGAATACTACATCCCTGCAAACAAAGAAACAGTTAGTGGATAAATCCATCAACCTATATCCCTTCTGTGTTTCTGCATATCCCAGAAATATTGCTGCCCTTGCTTTAGGTGAAAACTTGTCCTCTTTGATCATGTTAGTAGCATAGCAGAGACATCCAAACACCCTCAAATGACTCAAACTTGGTGATTTGTTATACAGAGCTTCATATGGAGACTTTCCATTTAACAAAACAGTGGGCAATCTATTTATCACATAGACTGCTACATTAACACACTCACCCCAGAATCTTGTAGGAACATTAGCTTGAAACTTCATTGCTCTTGCTATGTCTAGGATATGCCTATGTTTTCTCTCCACCACTCCATTTTGTTCTGGAGTGTATACACAACTGCTCTGATGAATTATCCCATAAAAGTCAATCAATTCTGTCATGTGTTTATTAAAGAATTTTGTTCCATTGTCTGTCCTAATTAATTTAACCCTGGACTGAAACTGTGTTTGCAACATAGACAGAAATTTCTTAAGCACCACAACAACATCACTCTTCAATTGAAGCAAATGTATCCAAGTATATCTTGTATTATCATCAACAATAGTCAGAAAGAAGTGTTTCCTATCATGAGTTGGGTACTTATATGGTCCCCAAACATCCAAATGCAAGAGAGAAAGAGGCTTCTCACTTATAGTCAAACTCCTAGGAAACATTTGTCTACTTTGCTTAGCAAGAGGACATACAGGGCAGTCATTGTTTATTGCTATGTCTACTACTTTATTATGAAAGAAATCTATATTCTTCATAGTACTAACTGAAGCATGGCCTAATCTTCTGTGCCAAAGTGCTCCATCTTCCTCATCCTTCTTGGTGCTTGTGGATGCAAACTGTTTTATTCCTTTGATGAATTTGTCCAAATTCCCCTTGAAACCTTTCTTCAATATGTACAGACCACCTTTTTCTCTACCAATCCCCCTCACCTTGCCATTGTAAAGTTCCTGGAACAGGCAGAAGTCAGGAAAGAAATTCACTGAACATAACAGCTGTCTAGTTAGTTTAGAAATTGACAAAAGGTTGAACTTGAACTCAGGCACAAACAGCACATCATCCAATTCCTCCTTATCAAGAATGATTGCTTTACCAATATGTTTTAGCCTTTTCTCCTGTGGGAAAATGAACCTGTTCATTTCTATGTGTGTTCACTTTGTCTTTTACTACTAAGGCCTCTAATTCACCAGCAATATGATGTGTAGCTCCAGAGTCAATTATCCATTCTGTATAAGGCAAGTTTGTCATTAAGGATGTAGCCATACCTGCCATGTTGGCTTGACATTCAGGAGTCTCCTTGTTCAGCATGTTTAGGATCTGCCTGTACTGATCTTCAGTGAAGTATGGCCCTGCCTTCAGTGCATCATCTCTGCCTTTCCCTTCATATTCCTGTGTTGGTTTGTCGTTTCCAAAGGCTCCAGTTGTTATGTTTGCTGCATATGTTTTCCTATTTATGAAATCATCTGGATATCCAACAAGTTTATAGCAGTTCTCCTTAGAGTAGCCTGGCTTGTTACAGTAGTCACACTTCATAAATGGCTTGTTTCCTTTGTATCTGTTAGCTTGAATTGTTGGTTGTCCTTTACCTGCTTGCATAGCATAGGATCTCCTTTATTTCCTACAATCGAGCTGGAATTCTGGCTTTCATCTTCAATTATCAAGGCATAAGCTTGATTCAGAGTTGGCTCTACAGTCTTCATCAGGATCTGTCTTCTTGCTTGATCATAAGTCTCATTAAGTCCACTCAGAAACTGCATTAACCTTTGCTGTTGGAGCTGCTCAACATATTCCTTCGAATTAGGAATTGGTACCATCGCATCATATTCAGCCCATAGTTCTTTGAGCTTTGTGAAATACGCAGATACAGAACTGTTCCCTGTGAATTAGTGGCTATCTCCCTGTGGAATTGAAAAATCCTCACACAATTCACTTTGTCAAACCTTTCTCTCAGATCTTCCCAAACCGAATGCGCGTCAGATGCATACACAATTCCGCTAAGTAATTCCGGAGATACTGTGTTCATGATCCAGGACAGCACAATTGCATTGCACGTCTCCCAATCTTCATGTAATGCAAGCTCGAATGAGCTCTTTTTGCATGTCCCTAGCACAAACCCTAGCTTCCTCTTAGCTTGCAGTGCAATTCGCATAGATCGATGCCATAAACCATAGTTTTCTGATCCTGTGAGCTTTATAGGAATCAAAATCGAGCTGGGAGTATCTGAAGGATGTACGAATAGAGGATGCGTGTGATCGATTTTATCAACTTTATCAGTCGCCATTAACAGTTGTTGGTCGAGCTTCGTGAGGAAGACAATATGAAAAAGAGAAAATTATTGTAGATCTAACAGAATTTGCGGAAGACTAGACCTTGCACTGCTCTGATACCATGTGAGCTTGATAAATCTGAGTTCACACTTCAGATTTATCAATGCAAGCTCGATTGAAGATCTGCCATGGCTGAGAGTAAATGGAAGAAGGAGACGATCACAGAGAAGAAAATGAAAATGATTTTGTGTATTAGAAAAAGAATTAATTACAAAATATATACTTCTAATTTAACTATAGTTGCAACAAGTAACTATAGTTCTAACCACCTAACCATGGTCAACTGGGACCCGTCACTAACTACTAGGTAACTAACAATATTACCTAACTATTCTTCACATATTGCTTCAGGTTGGAGTCTTAAATGGCATAACTTCATCTAACTGAACTGTGAAGGTTACTAGGCTCGATATTTGGCAGTGGCACTCTTAATTGTTAATATCTCGTCCTTACTCTATAGAGGAAAGCAGTTGAAGCGACGGGGATTGAACAAGGAAATGGAGAAATTTTATTTCCTTTTTAGCTTATTAATATTACTACATTTTAGTGAAGCACTAAAATAAAACTTGAGGAATATTTACATAAACTAAACCATCGCTTCACGATTACCCCCATCATTGCAATTAGCTACGGCCATATTGTCCTATGTCCACATTCTTGTATGTATAGCTTCAAATCAAAAAAGAAATATCGAACCGTATCGAAACTATACCGAACCGAACAAGAAATACAGAATCGTACCGAACTAACTTTTGTACGGTATTTGGTATATATATTGAGAAACCGATTACCGAAATATCGACCCGAAGTTCTTATATACCAAACCGAAGTATCGAACGCCCACCCTAACTAAAACAAACTCCTATTTCCCTCTAATAAAAAGGTGATAAAAAGGTAAAATTAGATAAATAAATAAATCACTTTTCTTTAAGAAATGAGTGTTGTTGCTTATACCGCAACTAATTATAAACGTATCTCGCGCAACCCACCTTCCTTACCACTTGAATTCCATATAGTATATATATGAAAAGCTTACCGAATCAATTAGGAATTTAAGTCTCCAGGATATAATCTCTCAAAATTAGAAGGAGATGACAAGTGAAGGTTTAAATTATAATTATGTTTCTCCTAGCTTGGGTGGAAAAAAAATTTGCCCAAAGAAAAAATAGGAGTAAACTTGTTAATATAGTTAGCTATTGGTGTCTAATCAAAAAATAGTTTTTGTGGTCAAAGTAAATATTGAAATAACTCGGGTTTTTAATTATCAAGTTTACTTCAATTTTTCAAATATTATAGAAGAATAAAAGGTAATAGAAATTAGATATTCAATAAATAAAGAAATAAAATCTCATTGATTATTGTAGCTTCCTTCCAATAATTGCGAGTAAGAATCTTCAAGCAGAGAAGTACAAATAAAAAACTGATTGCATATATTCATGAATTCTTTGATAATCGTACAGAATATGGTAAATAGAGTTTATATAAGAATACAATATGTAACCGCTTTCTCCGGCTTAATTTCTGCCCGTTACTAACATTCATTATATTAATTGCTTGTTACTCAAATTATTCGTATCATTTATGGTAATAATAGTCAATCGCGTATAATCAGGGATTATGCTATTTACTTTTCCATATTCGTAGTTGTTGATGAATCTTCCTTTTTTATAGTCTCCATGCATCTCGTGCATATCTCTTCCTTCCTAATTTGTCAGGTACGATATCTTTGTAAACAATCTCGTGGGTGTTTTACCCATACCTCATCATTCTTGTTTACTGCTCTTATTCAAATGCCACATGTCAAACAT